TTTATTCGCAAACTCAAGAAATAATATAAACGTATATACATATATCTCACAGCTTGGAGAGCCAAAATAACCGCGTGCTTTCACATACCATACATATGCGTCCCTAGAGAGAAAAGAGCGCTTGGTTTTGCGATACTTACGTGCTCGAGTCTGGAAGTGCAATGTATAGTAGATATCTGTTGTACATGAAATACATGCATAGCGTAGATATATGCTTTTTTGAGATTTCTGTTTTGGTACATACCACCGATGCATATCGTTGGTGGCAAAAGTACAAGAAACAAACGTTGTATTCATCTGTTCTTTCGCAAATATAAAAAGTAGGATTTGTTGGTTCGTACGCAATCTTACCCCAGGAGATTTCTTTGAATTTTGTATATCCAACATCAGAGTAGATAGTTTAATGGTATTGTTTTTGCTGTTTATTTTCATGTTCAATGAAGCAATATAACTAAGGTAAGTATAATAGGACAAAAAGGGCATGCAAGATAATTTTTAGTTTTGTGACGTATATTTCTATATGTTGAAAATAGTACAGAATGTCGAATGAGTCAGAAAACTAGTCCGTGTACAGTCAATTTATTTATCCTGGCAACTGCATAAAGGAGTTCCGTTCTGCAAATACTGGCTGTTTGCTGAGTTGATTAGTGCTGATGATAATTGACAATCACCGAATACCATTTCATTTGTTTTGCAATAATTGTCACATTCTTGGACTTCTTTACTGGTACAATCTTCATTGCACATTACTGTAAAAAGTAATAATTACGTAATATTATTTAACAAACGTATAAGGAACGCGTTCTCGGTCATAGGTCACAGTGATCGTGCTCGTAAATCAATTGCAAATGTATCTCACTCAAATTGTATAGAATATTTATCTAAATAAGTGAAGAAGTTCAATAGTACAAGTATTGAAAGCAAGAACATTAAAAGGGGCTGTAAAAATGGTCACCTAAACAAGATTAGCGTAAAAAATGAAATACTAAGTGTACTATAAATTGTAACAAGTTAAGGCTTATAAATCTTGCAATGTATTTAAAAAAAAAAAAAATATTATGGATAGGAATATCTTTTCTTGTTTGCGATATTTTATAAAAAGTCGTGTGAAGCTCTAATCTTCTAAAATGAAAAAACCGCTACTAACTTATTGGCTCAAAGCTTTCTTATATTTTTTTTGTGTACTCAATGTATTCTACATATTATTTTTTTACCAAATCATACAAAATCTTTAACTTTTAATCACCAACCCTTAGTATTATACACCTACGTAACGAATTAAAAAAATTTTTTCTTACAAATACATTTTTATTGAAAGTTTCACGAATTCTAAAGATTGTCTAACATAAAACATTCTGAAACAAAGCAGTTGATTCTTCAAAACTGATAAAAGCGAAGTAGATGGTTAAGTTGATTGAATCGTAATTTTATTCTTAAGCAGTGATAGGTATCTAAGAATAAAACAATAATCCTATCGAAATCTATCAATCCAATACCTGTAATATAATGGACTATATAAAATTATCTACTTACACCCAAGCCCACCCACGTACTCAATTTTTGTATATTTGTCTAAATCCATTTTTTAAAAAGATTCCACAACCTTTCAGTTGTTTTGTCATAAAATATTCTAAAACAACAATAAATAGCTGAAACATCGAATTTAATAACAGTCCATTTTTCAACATCGATAAATACGAAATAATCAAAAACTAACGAAATCCAAATTTTATTTTTTAACTGTCACAATCATCTAAACATAAAATGAAGGCTTCTCAAAACCACTCAGTATTTGTGTCTATTTCAATTTACAAGAAATCTTGAGATAAAGTGCTTCTAGACTATGAAGAAGTAGAAAAAAAAGCTTAAGAAAATTTAAAAAATCTTGAGAAATGCATATAAATTTACGGGTATACAGCTAAGTGTGACCTGTGTTGAGACTGTGTTGAGGTTCAATCTTTTATAATGAAGAAATAAGCATTTTTTAACATTTAAAAATTTTTTAAAATGCGTATAATTATATAGGTATAAGCTGACTCAAGTTCAAAGCTTTACTTTTAACTATTTTACAAATTAAAATCGAATGTACACTTTTTTATTTGCTAAAAAAAAGGAAGTTTTCTTTCCGAGGTTAAAATACTACTTTGTGGTGTAATTTGCAAACTTTTACCGAGTTATAAATATATGGAATGCTTAAAATTTTATTCCTTCATAAATCTACTCACCGCTGGATATTAGCAGATCTATTGCCACGATCGAAACGAGAAGAGCACTCATACTCCATTTCCCTGCCATTTCAGCTGATATGTATGAATGCTATTTTGGTACGTTTGCTGTTTGATTATAAACTAAGTTGCCGGTGGAAAATAGTGTCTATATATACTTACGAAATCATCATTTTAGTTGGGTGGGGCAAACGTTCCCTGGCCAAAATGTTAGTCAGATAGCAATAGAGTAAAAATAAGTCCGACGTATTCTCAACTATTCCACTGTAATTTTGTTGAAAGGAATTATCAAATCCACTGTTTAAAATTGCAGTTAATTCTTTTTTCAGCCAATAATAATTCAATCGGACAAAATGTTGATGTGTCTACTTGTTAATATATAATTACTCTTAAAATTAAGAATTACTCGTAACTCTCGAAGCTCTTGCGATAAGTTTCAAATAGAAAATCAGCAAAAAAGCAATGTGTAACTCAAAAAAGTGAAGCATAATTATGTGATGCATACAATGGATTCCTAAAATTATCATCAGTAAGACATAGTTGTATTATTTTTTCATCGATCCATCGATATAAGAGCCAACTCTCATCTACAGCAATCTATTGCCATCGACTTCCCAAGAGGAGCCCGCAGTCATCGGCCCATCACGCAGTTAACGCAATTTTAAAACACCCCGACCCCCATCCTCAAACAATCTCTCGGCGAGCCGAACCGCCGATGAAGCATTAGCATTTAGATCGTGCAATTTTGCGCAATCGACTTGATTGAACTCCGCTCCGTTGCTCCCTTTTTATTCCTCTTTTTCTCCCTTTGTACTCTCCTTCGCTTTCTTGGTCGCGATGACGCAACACCGCACAGACGAGCCCCAAGAAAGACGACGAGTTCCCGTCTATTCCTAGAACGGCGCTTATTTTCCTGTACAATATGAATCGGAGCATAGCTCGAGATGAAAAGGAGGAGCACTAGCTGCTTCTCCGTATATGCAAGCCGCGCCGCAATCGGGGCTGAATTCGTAATCAACGCTCCCTGATGATCAAGCGACTCCTCGTCCTTACTGCTCCCTGCGCCCTCGTTTCCCTCCCTCACTCTCTCTCTCTCTCTCAATTTTTTGCTAATGCAACGTTACGCATATATACGCAATGTACACAGGTACTTACGGGCGCGCATACAAAAGACGTCGTTGCACCCCAACGACGCCCGCGCGCTTTTGATTTGTATGGAAACGGCATCGCGGTCTCTCTTCGAGAGCTGCTGTTCATTGTGTACCTACATACTCGAGGGGGTGATAAATAAATGGAGGCCCTGTGATGAGCTGCGTAAACAAAGTTTGGATAAAAACCACCCGATCGGGACAATACGTACGAGGGTTCAATGTGTATTCATTTGCACCACTCACCTTCTAACTGTAAGGAAATTTTAACAATAAGTAAATAATCAAGTGCACCTCTGTGTGGTCGAATTTCATTTTTTTTGAGTTTTATAACATGACGGGTGTGCCGGAGACATACTTTGATCCTTGAGCGATAGCAAGGCTTGTTTCTTGTCAGCCTCGCCAGATGATCGTGCATTAGTATGAAAAGTTCAGGTCCTCGGTAAATAGAAAAAAGTTCCCAAGTAATTTTCAAGTTCCACTTACTGGCGTTACGGAAACTCGGTACTGGGGTAACTGCGAGGGGGTAGCAAATTTAAGTTTCGAGCTCTGTATAGGTGGAGGGGAACGGCGACAGTAGCCAGCACTAGTGTCTCGGTGTGTAAATCAATGCTCCGCAATACCAGTCAAACTAAAAACATAAATTTTGCTCAACTTGCACGCAAACCTGGCCCTACGTACAGTGTGACCTTCGTTCTGTGTTCCCGTTGACATTTTCCTTCTGCTTCGAGTTTCTTCATTTTCATAAGCCATGGTAATTGACTCGTGCGACGAAGGATGATGTAAATAAAAAACGTGGTGGTGTTGAATATTTTATTCGACACAAAAAGTTTTTACTTATGCACATACACGATTACCTTATCGTATGAAAAAACACACACTCAAAGTAAAAAAAAAAAACAAATTAATGCTAAGATTATTAGGTATATTTATTAGAGGATGTCATTGTTTCTCGTATATCACTGTCATTGGTTGTCGCTGAGTATTTTAAGTTCAAATTGCGATAAGATAAAATGCATATGCTTCAGCATATGAGAGTGAAATAAAGAAAAAAACAATATTCGTAAGCATTATTCTTCAAAGTCTAACAAAAAACGAAGTTTGTATTCGCGAAGTTTAAATATGTAACAGGTACACGATTGTGCCATACATTATCGTTGGTTTGGCGTACTTGGTCATGTACTTGGTGCAGTTTAAAAAAGAAAATCATCAAATGAAAATACTTAAATAGCAAGGCCGGTGTTATTTTTACATTGTTTATCGATAATTATTGTGTATTTACAGTCTGTAAAAAAATTTAAAAACTCCATATCGACGCATCGTCGACTCGTGTCAGAGGAATACTTGCGCAAAATACTTATGATCTAAAATAATACCAAAGTAATAATAGTAATCGTAAAATCAATCAAAATCGATGGTCATTCATCGTCCTGGACTCTCTGACCATGTAGGAGTCCCAATAACATTGTGATCTCCGCAAAAAAAGATGAAAAAAAATCCCTTATCCGTCAGCACAGGCGACACGGTCTGTTCCGCGTCGTCGCTCCGCCCAGAGATAAAGAGAGCCAAGCGATCGTCCCCCGGACACCCCGACGCACATCATCCTGTCACTGCCCCCCCCCACCCCTCAATCCTTGTAGGTCTTTCCAGCGTCTTGGGTCTGGGGGGAGTTGGTCGGCTTGTCGCGATCGGCGTCCGGCTTCGTTGAGGACTCGGGCCTGTCGTAAAGGTAGCTCGTCCCTCGCGAGCCGCCGGGCGCTGCGGTGCTGTCGTAAAAGTAATCCCGGGGCCGATAGAACCTAATAGGTGCACACGGACCGGGTGAGACGCGTCCCTTACAAATACATTGGAGCAGGGATCAAGGGACATTGAATCTTTTTCTCGCCCCATAGTAACTTACCCGGCGTCGCGGTCGCGGTCCCTGTCGCGCTCGCGCTCGCGGTTCGCGTCCCTCCAGTTGTCCCGGGCGCCTCCACCGCCGCCTCCACCCGAGTAGTTCCAGGCGCTCGCGTAGGCTGCTCTATCGGCTCCGCCGCCGGTGTGCGCGGCCCAGCCACCCCCGTCGGACACACCCACGCCGTAGTAGCCCCGATGGTCCGGGGGGTAGCCTCGGCTGCTGCTGCCTCCGTAGCGGTCGTACCTGCAAGCGCACGACAACGTAAGCTTATTCATCGTGTAGTGGGAAAACAGTTGCAAATGGGGGGGTGGTTTATGGGGTATTGGGTCGATTCATTTTGCAATTTTGTTATTGTATGAGTACCTAGTTTTCTATTTATCTCCATATGCTTTATTACCTTTTTTTTTATTATTTAAAAGTATTATCATATAGGCTTGAAATTTTTGGCATACAAAGACTTTGCATGTACGGAGATGCCTTCAACCTGTACAGCTGTACAATCAAACGATTTTATCGAAACAAAACATTGAGAGATGGGTTGCAAGTAACTAATTAATGCAGCCATTTATTGTTGGTTGACTAACGATTGAAAACTGCAAACGTTACGTAAAATTTCGGTTATGAACGATTCAAATTTTCATCAATAATCGTCAATTACGAGTGATTTACAATTGCAATTACCATTGTGTATCGGGAAATCATGTGGAAAGTTAATTTATATCACAGCTGTTTGCTTGCATACAGAACGTGTCAAAAATCTGTACTTTAATTTATTTTTCTATTAAACCCGCCACCTCACATATTACAGTTTTAAAGAAAGGGTTCTTTGTATTTAAGATACAGTCATTTACTGTTAACGATTTTTAAAAACAAATTTGACGGTTAGTATTGGAGGTTGAAAAAAAAACATGGTTGTGACAACGAACATTCATATCCCATACATCCAAAATAATCAGTTACAGATTTCTATCAGTGTATAAAAAAAAAGTTTATTTCATTCGTATAATTATATAAAAATATTAATCGTTAATTACCACAGTGGTAACTATAATGATTAAGCATGGCAATCGTTAATCACCGCAACGGTCATTAACGATTAAAACTCGAATCGTTAATCATGCAATTAATGTTCTTGCAAGTTAAAAGCGTCGTCTGCCCTCACCGATTTCCACCCCTTGTTACCTGTACTTCATTGACAGACGAGGAAGCGTAATAACAATGGAGAGAGACAGGGAAGGGGGCTCGGGGTGGTAATTCGAGAGGGACATTTGGCGCCGGTAAAGAGGAATTTACTCTATAAGCCGCTCCGGGCCAGAGTCTGCGAAGTTTTGATCCAGCGATTGTTACCGAAGCGCGGCTCCTCGCTCGGCCATACTCTAAATTTACGGCCGCGCTTACAACTTTGTCCGCAGGTATACATTGTTCCACGAGGAGATGCAAATTACCCTCCTCCCCCCCCTAACTTTGGACGAAGAAAGTCAAGCTCTTTGTCGTTGCATCGCTCACCTGTCGTCGTAGGTGGGCCTCCGGTAGCCGTTCCTCTCGTAGGGATCGTAGCGGTCGTAGCCCCGGCCGTCGTAGCGTCCATAGTTACGATTCCCGTTGAACCGGTCGTACCTCGACGGGCCGTACTCGTCGTATGCCGGCGGTGGAGTCGGCGATGGTCTCCTCGACGGCCCGTACCGATCGTACCGATCGTCGTAGGGGTAGCGCATGTCCAAGTTGTCGTAGCCGTTGCCGCGCTCGTAGCTGCGGTCGTAGGGCCGCTCGATCGGTCGCTCCAGTGGACGATCGGCTATCGGCCGCTCGATCAGGGGACGATCGATCGGCCGGTCCACCTGACGCGGGTAGTAGCGATCTCGCTCGTACGGATCATACCTTTGGTGATGGATTTTCTTTTTTTTTTTTTTTTTACGTTCCCATTGGATAGAGTACCGAAGTTGAGCTTACCTGTCGTTGTACACGGATGACCTGTAAACCTCGTTTCTCCCGTAGGGATCGTAACGATCGTAATCGTAGCCAGGCGTCTTCGCCCGTTCGTAGTAGTCGTACCGGTCACGGTACCTTCGCTCCTCGTACTCGTCGTCGTAGTAATCGTACTTTCCCCTCTGCCTCCACCTCGCCGAGTAAGGACTAAAAAAAACACAGCATCGTTTCGTTTATGAAAATCGACAGCTTCTCCCCTCGTTCCTCAAGGCATATCGGAAAACCGATTCGCGACACCCCCGAAGAAAAAAGAATCCAACAGCTGAGATGTACAATGTAGGTACGGAGCATCTATCTCGCGTACAGAGCGATAAATCAGTGGGTCGCGGACGCGAGGACGACTTCGCGTCCAATAAATAACCCGTCGGGCCGTCCCATCCATCGACTCTCTCGGAAGAAAACAATCTCTCCCCGAAGAAGCAACTGTATGCGAAATCCCCCTGTATACGTGCACAGGCACCATCACGTATAGGTGTGTATATATATACGTACTCCCGATCAGCGGTGGTCTGATGGGCGGCCACGGCAGCGGCGGCGGCTGTCTGAGCGGCCTTGCTCGGGTCGCAGGTGATGCATCTCGACTCGTAGTACGAGGCGTCCCGGTGCTCGAGAAGCGAATCCGCTCGCGATATAGGCAGGCCCTCGTCGGCGTATCTGTTGCCACTAGCACCACCCCCGCTCGCATAGTAGTCCGAACGAGCTTGACGGAACAGCGCGCCCAGGGTCGTGGCTGCAGGTGGTAGGGCCGAGCTCGTCGGTATCTCCTCTTCCTCGGCTTGGCTGGGCTGGGCAGCTGCCGTTGTTGTTGTTGCCAATGCTGCTGCCACTGCAAGCAGCAACGGCAGTGCTGCCGGTGCTGCCTTTCGCAACATCTGTAAAATTTTTTTTTTCTTTGTTGTTACACGGTTGAAACGTTTTTAATTAAAATTGAAACATCAATGGTGCGGTCACTGAAGACCAAGTGTTGTTGATTGGGCCGCACGGGGTTTGGAAGAGCTCGAATTTTTTTGTTGTTTACCATGGGTACCTTTTGCAAGAATTTCCCGGAAATAGTAGTTATCTCGTCATGGATGCGAGCGTGTGTGCAGGTACATGCAGAGGCTGAAAAATGAAATTGCAGGATCCACGAAAGCATACAGGGAGGGAAAGGAAGGATTCGCTGCCAATAATTGCGTTATTGAGGGAACTTGGTTTCGATAGTCCGGAGTCCACAAGGGAAAATTGGATTCAGCGTCGGGAAATATCATCAAACGGAACATGCCACGCGGAATCGTGCTATATATGGTCGATTTGCCGCCGAAAGTCTTGCTTATATCATCATGTAAACCAAAGTTTCCGATGATGGCATGGATTAGACCCTCCACCGTTTATAATAACGCCCTGTTCATACATTTTATATATGACTTTATTTTACACCGATACGGCCATTTCATTTGAATCGGTTCCGGAGGGGATGGCATTGAAATCATTAATTTTAACACAGTATTACACGTATCAATAGCTTTGCCGAAAGTGACTCTATAATGACATCCTTGGTACGTTTTGATAATGTATTTTCGTATCTTGCCGTTTCATGTTTCGAAGGCACGAAGACGCGAAATACAAAATTACTTTTTTTTCCCAAATCAACGTACGGCCCGATGTATGTACGCGGATGACAACGTACTAATTTAAGCTTAATGGTTCAAAGGCAGCGATAAAAATTCCAATCGCACTTATCACTTTTTTACTATACAGAGCCATTGTATGTTGGTTGTGGCGTTGTATATGTGCGATATCCTGAAATTGTATCAATTTTTATTTCTCGGTTTTTTTTATGATTTTCATTCGTCCCTTGATTTATTTATTTTCCTCTTTAAAATTTCAATGTAATTCAATTAAAATAGCTCTCTATTCAAACAGTCGCATTTCCTACCTACGTACATTTCGCGCGGGTAAATATACGTATTGGATATTCACTTTTTTCCGTACCCAAAGAGAGTGTAATTAAAACGACGCTCTTTCAACCCGTACCCCGTGCAATTCCACCAGAGAACCTTTGTTGTATAGGATGTACGAGCCGGAAAATATTTATTCTCGTCCTTTGTTACCTCTATTTTTATTTTTATTTTTATTTTTTTACTCTTGTATTACATGTGATTTAGTTACACGCGAAACATTCATTTTTGCATTGTTTCGCCGAATAACTCGAATATTTGCGAAGCACATATTAAATTTCATCGTGGAATGGATTTAAAAAATTTGATTGGAATTAATAAAATAACAAACGAACCCCAACAATTTTTACTTTGAAAGGCTTTTTTAACAAAAGTAAAAAAAGAAACAAAAAGATGATTGATTATTATACTGACGATTATTGAAGTTTACGTGCGTGGGGTGTTGGAATCAGAGGAGGGAATTTGTTGAAAAAAATAAAGTAAAATTAGTACCAGCGTCACTTTGTTCTTCAAGTCAAGTTGATTTCACAGTGCCGCTGGGGGAACAATTAATTCAAAGCGATTGTGAGTGACCTACATTCTAGAAAAATCGATCCATAGAAATGAAAAAATTATATTGCAGAAAAAAAAAGGAATCAATGGTAAAATCAAATAAAAGAAAATAAACCAGATCCAAGCGCGTGGTTGTATGAAGGAGGGACGCGAAAATCGAAATAACAAGCGCTAACGCAATAATACATAACAGCTCATCCGCGTTGATTCGCGAAAAGCACCTTCTCTACTAATAGCCGGGTTAATCAGCTTAGCTCCGCAGACGTGGAAAATTTCGAGCGCCCGGACGCTAATTTGGCGTTTAATTGAAAAGCCAAATTTTCTTAATCACAAGCTCCGAAATGACATTAGCTCGCTGTTTTCTCGCCCCGATGCCCGTCGTTTTTACGCCGTACACACGTACATCCCAACAGAGAAAAAGAGACAAAATTAAAAGCACGTATAATTAATAAAAATCACAACAAGTATATATATGCGCATCTATATGTACACTCGCTCATCGTTGCTTCCTACGGTCCGCTCCGTATAATAATGAAATGCATAATGCATGCCGGAGACGAGCCGTAGGTGCTCATCTGTCTATATCTGCCCAATTCAGGTCGGGCTATGGAATTATGTTGTTCCAAGATGGACGCAGTGCAGAAAGGAGGTGGGCGGAGGCACGGTATATACTTGGCTCAAGCAGAACTAGCGTATAATATACATGTAGGTATACCTACGGGGCTGTTGGTCACCGATGCGTGACACGATAGCCCTGTATATGTATGTACGTAGTCTGCAGCTTCGATTGTACCTACCCTGAATGTGACCATTGACTTGCTCGTGATTAATTGACGGACACGAGCAAGGATAATCGCGCGCGGCCCACGAGTGGAACGGGATATTTGCAGGTGCAGCTGTATTTGGAATACCTTTGGCCGAGCCCTCGGGCCGATGCTTGTGAATCGATAAATTGATTATTCACCACAGACGTCTCTTGCTGCGTCAAACGTTCCCTGCAAGGATTTTTTTCTTTTTTTTTCCCCTCTCCCCAACACTTTGGTTGATCTTTCCTCCACTGGGCTATAATCCAATCATCCTGTGCTCAATATGGTCCATTGAACAATTTAAAGAGGAAAAAAAGTAGCGCAACAAGGAGAAGAATACCATCCTCGTTATGTGCTTTCCTTTCATTTGCGCTTCTCATCTTCCCTCATCGAGCGGGATTCCCCCCGAGCGAGGGCCGGACACCGAATTTAAAATGCAAATTTAGCCCACTGTGGCAAACTGAAAAGCTGCGCTGTGTAATTTCGCGCGATCGAGTTTGCCCCGTTGTCCTCGTCGTCGTCGTGGCAAAATCGCGCCCTTCGCCTGAATATTCGCGCCGTATAACTACTTGCCGGTCCACGTGTATAATTGCATGTACTTGGTGATCGAGCGATGTCGGAGGGGGGTGGCTCGCTTATTTTTTAATTTGAATAGGATTGGGCCCGGCTGTTGTTGTCAGGCTGTTTCTTTTATAGGGCAGGTCCACGGACGTGGGCGTTTGCATGCGAACGAGGTGGAAGGAGACGATCGTTAGGACTTTCCATCGCGTACGAAATGGCACAGTGGACATTTCTTTTTTTTTTTTTCATTTTTATTTAGGACATTTCTGAATAATCTCAAATAACAGCGAGATCAACGACTTCGTATTGCGCGTTGTAATTTTACACGCGTTTAAAAAGTACATTATGCTATTGTACAGAAAAATACGAGGAATGTAAGCTAAATTCTATTTTTAGTTTGACTATCAGTGGGTAGGTCAGTTTTTTATATAGGTTGAGTCTTCCAATGCAAAATACGCATTAGTACATGCAACAGTATTGATCAGAAGAGACGCATCATTAGGCTATACGATGCTTGCCGTTTCACTCAAATTTTCTTTTTACTTTCTAAATTTGCCTTGCCGGTGTGTTATATGCTTGAATCAGACAAACTTTTTACTTGAAACAGACAATAAGTAAAAGAAGTTTTTTTTTTTTAATTCAACCGAAGCTGTGACGAATAAATTGTGGCATGTCAACACAAATATTTTTTCTGATCTATGAAACACGACTCGAGTCCGGTGTAGCTCGTCTTGTATTATTATTATTTTTACGAGGAACGAAGATGAATATGAATGCGGTGTTTGGGCGAGAGTTTACACATACACTCCGAGACACTTGAGTTAAATAGCCGCTAGGGTTGGTGGAAAGCTTGCACTGCACGACGGGCTTGGAAAGTTCAGTCATGCGCACGTGAGGCGTATGCCGCAATAACAAGTCTCTCCGGGAGTTCGAGGCTAAATTACTTACGGCCTTAGTAGCCAGTTTTCAACTTTGGGGCACATTAAGCTGCTGTTGCGTAAATAAGATTAACCCTTGGCGTTATGCATATTTATGGTAAAAATGTGCTTTATTACCGGATGGAGTGGCCCCATCGCCCTCTACCTGTGCCGTGAAAATAATTTTTGTTTTGGAAAAAAATTAATTAGCCGGAGATTAATTTATTTTATGCACGATGCACCTGGTTTATCCAATAATTGAAACAGGGGATGTTGTGGTTTTTCTCTCCGTGAAACATAATCGGACTCAAAATACATAGTTTTCATTTCTCTTGGCTTTTATGCTTGACAATTACAATGACATATCTGCTTTGAAACCTTTTCTTGTATAAATGTTTGAAAAAAATATTTTTCCTATTCGTGACATGATTTCGAAGAATGATTAAAAATTATTTATATATTGGGTTAAGAAAATTATATTACTACAGTTCCAATGAAATTCATAAATTATTTTGGCAAATGATGAAAAATAAATTATGGTTTAAATAATCACTTCATGAACTGTTTACTCAGTGGATTTTTATTATTTCAAGGCATTTTTCACAAAGTCATTTCCTAAGAAAAATAATCAAATAATGAAGATTTACAAAAAATATGAATTATTAAGTTTACAAAATATAGGATATGTTTTATTGAGTTATTATATACTTGGGTATGAACAATTCATTCATTGCATATACACATAGAAGCTAGGGTAATTTTATTTTGGCTTATTACTGTTGACTTTTGACAACTGGCTATACGTTTTGGTCCACAATCAGATTGACAATTTTTTAATTCGTCACGAGAACATGCCAGAGGTTTCCTGCACATTGCTGTAAAAAGCAATAAAAATATATTTTTCAATTAATGTACGGAATGTATTTTTAGTCTTTGATTATAATCATCGCGCTCGTGATTCGGCGTTGAAGCCGTAAAAAGAGTGCATATCATCCCAACAAGGGTATTTTATTTGGTTCATAAAGTAAGTATTTTTAATTTTTTTAATTCCCAAAAATTAATATTCCTATTCTTTGATAATCAAAAATTTATAAATTTTAATTTTGACTGTAGAATCTAATGTGGAAGTTCTCGTTCATTAGTTATTAAAGATCTGAATAATATTTAGTTATTTTTGTTCGTGGAAAAAAAAAACATTCAAATAAAATTTTTATCACTAGTAATTTTTTTGGAATCATTTCAAATTTT